GAGCTTGTCCAGGAGGCACCGGGCGGCACTGGGCCTTCTGTGGCCCTCCAGGCTGCTATGCTCCACTCCCGTGCCCTCACTGCTCCAAGTAGTCCCCCTCCCTGTACCCCCATTCCTGGCTGTGTTTTCACAGCTGGGCCAGTGGGGTGGGGGAAGGGGAGGGGGTCTGCACCCACCCTGTCCGCCATCTTGAGGCTCTGCTCCTCCCCTCAGTTGTCCTCCCCACCACCTGTCAGAGGTGTTAGACCCACCCCAGCCTCTGTTGCCCCTGTGTTGCCATCTGTGTCCTGCCTGGGTGGTAGACTTGAGTGTGTGCAGGATCAGGGGCTTACTGGAGGAGGGGGCCGAGGAGGCGGAGGTCTGGTGGAGGGACCCCAGAAGCTCTGCCATTGGCCCTGTAGACCCCGCCCACAGCTGTCTTCCCCATTGGACTCTTCCCCCCAGGCCGGAGTGGGGGACCTGCTCTCCCCTCCCCCCACTGCAGGCAGTCAGCTCTTGCCTCAGTTTCTCTGCTGGCTCAGTGGGTTGGTGGCCCCTTCCAGGTGGAACAATGGGGGCTTGTGTTTCCCAGGCTAAATATAGCACTGTGGCGGCTGAAGTGATGGCCAAAATTCCTAGGAAGTCTGGGCTTGGGGGTGCTGGGCCTCCCGCTAGGTGGGACTGGCCTGGGAGCTCCGGGGTCCTGGCCCTGTGGTGGCGTCCAGTGGACTTGCACCAGTCCCCGCTACAGCTCGGGCCCTGGTGGGGGCGGGGCCGGCCCTGGGGGAGGGGGCGGGCTGTCTGCTTTAGGACGAGGCCGACTCCAGCCGGGGCCTCTGGCTGCTGTCACTGGCCTGTCCTCTGGCCGTGCGCAGCCCTGGGGGCACAGCTTCCGGCAGTGTCTGGTGGTCCTTGGCTCTGTCTCTCGTTTCTTGGTGACCCGGCTGGCGTCCCCACCTCTGTATCTGTTCCTGGTCTCCTGCCGGGGTCCTGCCTCGCAGTAGATGACCACCATGCCTCCTCATACCCCCCTGCTGTGACCCCCTCCCTCTGCTTGGTGGGGGGGTGTTGGACCAGCCCCACCCTGCCCTGCCCTTGGGGAGCCCTCCCAAGCCTGGGGCTGGGGACGCTGCCCTGGGCCTGGGCACTGGCCTCTCCCCTGAGCTTTCTGTACAGGTGTGTGTGTGCATGTGGCTGTGCCAGGTGTCTTCCCAGGAGGCCCGCGGCCCGGGGCAGCGTGTGGGGAGCCAGAGGGGCCAGGTCTCCACTCCCTGCCCTGGCCCTGGGGCGGGGCCTTCAGTGATTCCTCTTTGTCCCGAAGCCGGGAGGCCCAGCCCAAGAGGACAGGCTCGGTGAATGGTGGAATTTCAGGCAGTGACAGGTGGTGGACTGGGTTTGCCTGGGAATGGGGCCCGGCCCTGGGAGGGCTGGGGAGGGGGTGTTCCACGAGGCCCCTGGGCGCTGGGCGGCCAGTGTGAGTCCGTGGCTGCAATGAGAGCTGGCTGGGTGCGGGGCCCTCCCCATACCTCCAGCCACCCCCCACCCGAAGCCCCGTGCAGACAGACTGCCCAGGGCCCTCTCCCCCCAGCCCCCCTCCCCCCCGTGCAGACAGACTGCCCAGGGCCCTCTCCCCCCAGCCCCCCACCCCCCATGCAGACAGACTGCCTAGGGCCCTCCCTGGAGGAGACCCTTCCCTCACCTTTGCTCCCCCACCCCCTCCTAGGGCCCCTTCATTTGGGACAGACGGGGAGGCTACTGGGGACCTCAGTGGGTGGGGGACAGAGGCAGCCTCACTGCCTGGACTGTCCAGGAGCCACATGGTCAGGTGGGAGGACCCAATTGGAGGCAGAGATGTGGGTGCAGAGAAGAGGGGTCCCCAGAACACTGTGGGGATCGGGCTTCATATCAGCAGGCGTGGGAGATCCCTGGTCCTGCCCTTCCCACGGCTCCTGCTCACCGAGGATCTTGTGTCCCCTAGCCCCCACCCCACCCCCAGCGGGGCTGGGTTGACGCCTGCTGGAATCACAACCCAGAGACCCGGAGACTCAGGACCCTACATGGGAGCCCCAGAGAACCCCCAAACCTGGGACCTCACCTCCCCCACTCCTCCATCCAGTGGGGGCTGGCTGTCCACCGCCCCCAGGACACAGGCAAGGTGGGGTACCTGGGAGGGGGTTTCCAGTGGTTTAGCGCTCTGGGAGGTACCTTCTGTCCCAGCCACCCGTCCCCAGTCGCAGGGACAACGAACAAAAAAGCTGCTACTTCACGTTCTGCAGAAATCCGCAGAAGTGCTGTGGCCAAGGCCTGGCAGGCCGGGTAATGTAGCCAGCTGGTGACTGCATGTTGAAGAAATACCGGCTGGTTATTAAAAGCACTTGCTGTGCCGTCAGGCCCTGTCGCGATAGCATCTCCTCCTGCCTGCTGTCGCCTGGCATTTCTGCACGCTCGGCTGTCCCAGGGACCCCCTACCTTCTGGGAGCCCCCAGGAGCCAGGTCCAGCCGAGCCCTGGAGAAGGCGGCTGGGGCTGCCCGAGGCCGCCTCCCCTTACTCAGGAGAGTGGGTGACCACGTGGGAACAGCATCCCCTCGTGGTGACGCTGTGGGGTGGAGAGATCGGGAGCGGGCGCTGCCACAGCGGATGGGGAGGCTCTCCCCACCCAGGGACCCCGGCAGGGGCTGGAGGTCTGGAAATGGTCAAAGCTCTGCCTTCCCCCCTCGCGCCCCCTCCGTTCTGACAGCTGTGGACACCCCAGCTGGACCTCGCTGGCTCTGTGTTCTGATTCTCGCCCTCCTAAGCAGCCTCCCGTCCCAGGGTTGGCTAGGTGGGAGTAGGCTCCCTTCTGCTGGGGAGGGCTACTATGGCCTCAGCCCCAGCCCGGGACCCAGGCTGTGGAGTGCTGGGGTAGGTGGGCTGCCTGTCCAGACAATGACATGGACCTCCTCACAGCTGCCCCTTGTGTCTGAGGGTCCTGCAGCCCCTACCCTCCTTATGGCTATCCCTTGTCCCTGAGAGTCTGTCTTAGTCATCTAGTGCTGCTCTAACAGAAATACCACAAGTGGTTGGATTTAGCAAAGAGAAGTTTATTTTCTCACTGTCCGGTAGGCTACAAGTCCAAATTCAGGGCATCAGCTCCAGGGGAAGGCTTTCTCCATGGGCTCTGGAGGAAGGTCCATGTCATCAATCTTTCCTTGGCCTGGGAGCATCTCAGCGCAGGAACCTCAGGTCCAAAGGACACGCTGTGCTCCCGGCACTGCCTCCTTGGTGGTGTGAGGTTCCAACGTGTCTCTGCTTGCTTCTCTCTTTTATATCTCAAAAGAGATTGCATTAAGACACTAATCTTGTCAACCTCATCAGTATAACCTCATCACGGTGATAGAATTTATAACACATAAGGAGATCACATATAATCTCATCACAGTGATAGAGTTTACAACACAAAAGGAAATCATATCAGATTACATCATCTTACAATACTGGGAATCATGACCCAGTCAACCTGACAGACATTTTTTGGGGACACAATTCAATCCATGACAGGGTCCTACAGCTCCCAGGCACCGTTGACCTCTGACCTCAGGGTATGTGACTCCTTAGGAAATTGCCCCATTTTTCTTGATATGTGGTTGTAAAGGATGCATTAAGTCAGGGGTGTGTTATGACCCGTTGGGGACCATGCTCTTATTTTCCTTCTCAAAAGAGCCTGCCTCCAGGTTTGTGGGGCCATCCCAGGACTTGGGAATCCATTAGTGTAGTAAATAGTCCCTTGTCCAGAAGGACTGCAGGGTGTGAACGTGGGGCCTGGCACAGAGTGGGCGCTCGGCGAACGTGGGGCCTGGCACAGAGTGTGCGCTCGGCGAACGTGGGGCCTGGC